CCCCCCCCCCCCCCGCGCCCCCACCCCGGAATCTATGGATTGCTTGCTAGAGTGATGGTAGCCAGAAAGTGTACCAAGTGTTTTTCTAGCGCAATGGGATGAAGGGTGAATTTTGAGAGAAGACCGGAGTCTTGGAATTTTCTTGGAATATTCCTTCCGAAGGTAGGGATAGGACGCCCGCAAAGCCGGGCGTCAGTCGACGGAGTGATCAGCCGTTTATTCGGGGGATGAGAGGGACACCATAAGGATGGACGGTTTGGAAGCGTTGTCTCCAAAGGGTAGAGGTCAGGGGTTGGACGCCCCACACAGGAGACCTTGCTCAGAAGGTACCGGTACAAAATTGTCTTTTTCCCCGGAGGTGAGGGTGATGTTTCGGACAGGGACGCTCGATTTGGAAATGTTAATTCTTAGGGCTGTCCCTGGAAAGCTGCACACAGAACGTAGCGCTCTGTACCTACTTTTGCAGTTCTCCAGCGCGGGCATTGGAAGACTGAAGGCCTGTCCTATTATAGTACATACAGTACATGAGCGTGGGTTCTGCGGGTACAACGGTGTTCGGAATGGCTTTTCTAGCTCCGGCGCTAAGGCTTGGCAGGATGGGATGGGACCACGAGGTCCCGCTTGAAACGGCATACGAAGGGAAGGGTAGTTGGGTAGGGGGGTGTACTCATGTAACCGCATGCCGTAGTCGTTAGACCACGTTGACCACGCCTCCCCACCATGCCGTGACGGAGCGATTTGCCGGGTTTTCGCCGGCCCAGGCTACACTTCAAGAGGAATATCCAGAAGCTTGCCATCCTCCCTGTGTTTGCTGCGCCAAACCAGACATGCCATGGGTTGACTGGGGTGATGGGATTGGGGTTCACCACTACTCGCCACTGCGTTGGCTTGAGACTTGGTGGCAGAGAGAACCAAGTGATGCGGAGTGTAGGCTACGATGGCGTAAGGCCATGCGAAAATGAAATGCATTGGGGTGTCGAATGTAGGGTTCATCTCACCTCTGGACGAGCGGTGGGGGTGTTTCGTTCAAGGGCCCAGGTTGCCACGGGATGTAAAGCACGCGCTATTTGATTGTAAGTGCTCTTCTGTTTGTCGTCTGGGCGGCTAATTCCAAGATTTTAAGATCTTCCTAATAGACATTTGGAACAGCTGAGTGCACGGTGCAACAAGCACAATGAGGTGAGAGATGGCGCGACAAGCTACGCGGGGGGAGAGCACGGTCACACTGCTGGTGGGCCTTGCGACCTCCTATGACAAACCAAGGCCAAAAGACGGAAGAAACGAACGAACCTTCCATTACCCACCACACCGCGCAACAAACGAAGACTTCGTCATGTGCCCGATTGGCTCCTACCAAGAGCCTTCTACTATACGCTCTCTAGGTTTGCTAAGCGCGTGTGACACACAAATACGCGCATGAACGCCAAACTTCCCCATCGTATCCCATCCTAAATACGACCTTCGTGCTGGTAAGGCATGGAGTGCTGAGCGTGTGAACACCAACGATCGAAACATATGCGGCAACGCGGAGGATAGAATGGATATAAAACCCACCAAAATACAAACCCTCTATACTTCCCACCGCTGTGTCGCAAGCCACTCGGACGAAGATGCATGTGGATAACCTCCTGACAGACATAACCGCCACAAAGTCCCGGCCATCCTGTAGCAACCAACCCGTTCGAACTCCCTGGCTTATTCCTAGGCGCCTGAACCCCGGACATCCCCAGCGCTACTCGTCGTCACAATTCCTTTCGCCGTCGTTCCTCCCGGGCCATCCCACAATCCTAAAAAAGTAACTTAGTTCCGCCGCCTTTTCCCTCCGTCTTGCTATATTATTGGTTTACCAACCATCGTCGGCCTCTTCCTCTGCCCTTTTCCTCGCGTCCGCCGTCAACGCCAACAATTCTTCTTCCGTCTGAAGAGAGGAGAACAGAGAGGTTGGGGGCGCCAAGCGTTGCGTGAGGAAGGGAAAAGAAAAGCAGCACAAAGAAGTGAACGTGCGTGATCCCCGTTTTCCCGCTCGGAAAGGGCGCGCGCTGTATTTTTGCGACGTCAGGTGCGGCTCTCTCAGCAGAAAGTTCTCCAAGCGTGAGGGTGGGACAATCTACGTCGACCACAAGCAACAACAGAGACATTGTTGTTTTGAAGTCTCGGTGTTTGATAAGATAAGCGCCACTGATCCTACAGCGAATAGGCTTAAACAGACTCAAATTACGCACAGCAGTATCCAGCGGATTCCTTTCCCGTTCACTGCTGTTGAGGTCTCTGAGCACACCCATCCCTTTGACCGGAATACATCTCGAACGGGTAGTCGTTCGGTGACAGTGATGTTATTTTTCTAGCAAGCATCTTCGTGAGTTTCCAATCACCGCAATCGAAGGTTGGATGGGAATGGCACCGAGTTGCGCCGTATAATAAAATGGAGTGGCATGAGGATCCATCTGCTAACGGAACAGCATGATGATCCACCTGCTCCTGTCACAACATTAGAGGATCCATCAACAGCACGATGATCCATCTGCTACTACAGTCACAATTTTAGGTCACCTGGTTGGCGCGGAGAGCCTTGCGCATGTTGTACCGCACGTCATCCACGTCCGTCTCCTCGACAACGTCGTCCTCCATAAACATGGCCTGCATCTTCATCTTCCTCTGAGCAACATGGCAAAACAAAAACAAAAAACGGGACGGCATGAATGAGCAATCACGCACGCAAAGCCTACGTCTAAATAGCGAGCTACCACGGATGTGAGGAGGAAGCACCAACCACAAACGCACGAGCTGAATCGTCGCCACCAGGAGACGGGGAACGATTCATGAGACCGTTTCAAGTTGGGTGCAGCAGATAGACATCGTAGGCACGGGCTTTATTTGTACTCCGCATTGGCCAGTCTCAACCCATACACAACGCTTGCGAAAAAAGAAAGCAGCGCGCACCGATTTGGCAGTATTTTAGCGCACGTATTGTCGAACCTCTCAACACCACTACAATAATACTCTCTGACTAAAAACCAACCCACCCATAGTTTGACTGAAAACCCAAAACGCTCGTCCGCACACTGATATCTCCGTAATTGCATACAGAACACTGTTGTTTCTCATGCCTCGCGTTTCCGCTCGCGTTTCCGCGAGCTCAACATCGGTAAGCAGCAGTCAGCAGGGCCCGTTTGCGGAATCGCAAACAAGAACCATCTTGACCAGCAGAGGGCTTCATGGAGCAACGACATGCGCGTTGGCATGCCCAGATCTGTTGAATACTGGGGCCTCGTAGTTGAATGCCTAGGCTGGGTTCCGAAAGTCCCCCCAAGACTGGGCTCATACCATACACGATCCACTGCACAACACGCCGTCACAGACCCTTTCCTCCTGAACTGTGTGGGTGCACAGCAGTAGCTCATATCACTGGCTGCCCTAGACGACCAGCAGTTCGGGGAACTGGTTCTGTGACGGCACGTACGGCAGTGGATCGTGCATGGCACGGGCCAACAGATTTGCTGCGGAGTTTTCGAACCGCAGCTTTCGACCGGGCGGCTCCAGCAACAGCAGCTGGAGAGCGTCAACAGCCCTGATCTTTAGGAGCCGGGAATTTTTTGTGGCAGCGTGCCCGATTTGGTGGCAGGCACACTGCACCAAGGGACAGACTTTGCACGAGTGCAAAACGCCCGCTCTTCCAGCCCCTTTGCATTTTACCGCACATCGGCTGCTCCCTGATATGTCCACCGCAGCGACCGCCTCCACGGCCCCGCGAGGGTCGGTATTGGCCGAGCACGTTTGGCTTAGACCACACTGGTGCTGCGGGCCACTCTACTGGACCCCTCAAGTGCGACGCGGGCACGACTGACTGCACTGGAGGTCCGTTCCAGCGTATGGGATCATCCCCCTGTTCTTAGCTCCCCCGAAGACGTTGGGCAATAAATTTATGATCGAGACTCGGTCTACCTGTTGCGCCCAATCAGAGGAGGTGGATGAGTTTGCCGCTCAGCCACATGGTGGTGACAGGAT